AATACCAAACACCATACCTAATACCAATTTTTTTTAGAAACTTAAACCAAATACCATACCAAATACCAAAATATCGTATACCAAATACCATAATTTTCGGTTTCGGTACGGTAATTCGGTATTTACCAAATTATGCCCAGCCCTAGAGTATTGTAATTTCTTTTCTGTCCAATTTGTATTCCGGACAGTTATTGTATTACATTTTATTTTCTAGAAATTGCTCATGCACTTGTGACACCGCGTTCTGGGATGACTATGGGATTATTGAGTATTTAAATTTGTTAAAGATACCATTATTTTCTCGGTTAAGTTCATTATTTATTGTTTAATGTAAGAAAAAGAAATGATTTTAAAAATACTAAAATGAGAAATTTATTTAACTTCTTGGTGTTGGCTTACCTGACAAGTGGTGTCTGGCGCCATCACGACCCTTAATGAAATTTGGGTCGTGACAACTATAATAGAATGTAAAATTAATTACAAACGGAGATACAAATTAGAAGTCGTCAATGCATATAACTTAAATTTCTTTTTAAGAGAAAAGAGAATAACAGAAGTTACTATGTCGGACTGGATAAACATTATTGCTTCTAGGGGTGTTCAAACCGAACTGGAAACCCGCACCAAATCGTAAAGTCAAACCAAGGCGATTAAAAAATCCGACTAGATTTGGTTTGATTTGGTTTGGTATTGAGTAAAAAAACCGAACCAAAGAACTTTTAAGACTTTATATTGAATTTTCTTTAGAAATATAGAAATATTTGGGATCCTCTCATAGGATGTGATATTTAATGGAACTATGAATTACTGCATTCACTTTTATTTGCTTTAAGTAATGGGTTGTATCATTTTCTTATCAACTGTTATTGAAATGCGTCAATCATCTCGTTGTTCTTCCTATTTATGTGTCAAGATTTCTTATATCTTTTTCGAAATTGAAATGGTATTTCGATAATTTAAAATTAAATAGAACATATTATTATTTAGGTATCATGTTGATTTTATATTTAATTATTAAATTCGACTAACCTTGAAAGCTACATTAACAAAAAATTATTGTTTGACGACTAAGAAAATAATTATCATGTGATCATGTGTTACTAAAAAAATTCTCCCATTAGAATATTTTAATAGATCATATGTTTGTCAATTTTTTCTCCTCTTACTAAACATATATTCACTAATCAAAACTTTATCTATAATTTCAACAAAGTAAGATTGAATAATATTCACGTAACAAAAAGACCCGAAAATCCGATAAAATTGAACCAATGCGAACCGATATAGTTGGTTTGGTTTGGTTTTGATAACAACCGAACCAACCCGATACATGTATGACCCTAGGTGCTTCCAAGGAGATAGGAATAAAAGCTGCTAGATAGTTTAGTCAATTTGACTTAGATATATTGCTTCTAAATGCAAAGTACCAGTGCAGTGCATTAAACGGATTTAAGAAATCCTGAGCCTAACCAAGTGATTAGGATTGATGGATACATTTTAACTGCTTTGGAAATGACCCTATTCAAAATATTCGAGCGTAGCTCTTTGCCTTCACAATAATTCAAAGAGGATAAAAAGAGAGGACTTTATCAGTTCCAGCTTCTAATTATCTCCCTCAATATTTTGACTTTAATGGAAACTAAAGAATATTAGTTTTCGGAAACAAGTAATTAGATCTCGTTTAAAATTAGGTAGTATTTGATTAATTAGAATTGAAATCATACAAAAAACTAGAAATATCAAAGAAGCGTGCAATCCGCCTTTGTGAGATGACTTTTGCCGTAAACAACAACAGCAAAAGTTTGCTTGTCAAAGTAGGCCAAGGCCTAAGGATAAGGAGTGAAGTCATTAGTCGTCTAAGACTACGATCTTCACATCTTTACTATGATATATATGTACGGATAACATAGGCGAGCCTATTTTTGAAGTAGAGGGACCCCGTTAACTTAGGTAAAAATTCTGGATATAGATTGAGAACAATCATATATATTTTAGTTGAAACCATTAAGATCAAAGTCAGATGAAAATGAGCAGTCTACTCATATTCCCGGCACGTTCAAATCATATGTCCGCCTCTGCGGTATAAAACAATCCATTGGAGCTGGGAGTTAGAATTACAATGAAATAAAAATTTAAGTTAAAAAAGATCATTTTGGGAGAGAAAGTATCTTCTATATATTCTCATTGAACTGAAAAAACTGTAATAGAACAATCAAGATAGCCCTTTTATAGTTGGTGCAAAACTGGAAAAAAAAATTACATAACATAAGCGCTCCCAAAAATAATAGCCGGTAAATATATATCTTTTGTATATTAACATACGATATACATATTTTATACAAATTTTCATATATTTAACTAGCGAATATATAAGAAAATTATGAAAGGTCAAATGAGTAATTTGGCCGAAAAATACACGACTCCGAAAATACAAATAATAGTATATTGGGCCAAGCCCAGTTACACTTTAAATACAACAGAGAAAGAAAAGGGAAATTTTCCTTCTCCTCTTCAGCCCAAAATGATCTGCAGCCCAATCTTTATGTAACTCCAATACTATTTTACCTCGTATAGCAAAGGTTAACACCTTATTTATTTTAAAAAAATTATATTCTATAGATACCTTTTAATGTATATAGCAAAATATCTAATTTTGGTTAGCTCCTACCCCTAAGCCACTAAATACGCTATTCAGTTACACTATTTTCTTTCTGTCTCTACATTGATACATGTCATTCTCTTCCCCCCATTCCCTGAAGCTATTAAAATCAATTGGGCTGCTGGTGCTAATTTTTCAATAGGAAAATCAAGAGCAGGAAAAGGAGACTACGACACACTTGGTTTAAGCAATGAGGAAGTTAGGGTTTCATCAATCTCGTCCGTTCCGTTTGCTCACCTTTTCGATTTTTCTTAATAAAAAACTGTAGTTGTTTATTTATTGCTTCACTTTCTTAATTGTTGATATTTGGTGCAATTTCAGCCATGGCTGGTAGAGGAAATTTCCTTCATAGAGTTATTTCTTATGTCGCCAATGAACTGGGGAATAAAGAAGAGGCTAAAAGGGAAAAGAAGAAGGTGAAAAGGAACGTTATTGTTAGAGTTGCAGCCCCAGCGATTCAGGGTTTTTGCTCGACGATGGATTCGTCGAAAATTAGGGTTTGTTCTTGAACAAAGACGACGGAGTTTGGGGCTGAGCAATTTGATTTTCTGTTAATATATTTCAATGTATTTTCATTGTATTTATTGTGTTTTTTTTCATTGTAATTCAATGTATCTCGCTGTATTTCATGTATTTCATTGCATTCACTGTCTTTTTTTCATTGTATTTCAATGTATCCCGCTGTATTCTATATATTTTCATTGTATTCACTGTCTCGCTATATGCCATGAATGTATTGATATATTATTTTTAATTAATATAATTTATGTATTCAGATGTATTATATAATTTCTCTAAAGAATTATTATGTTTTTTGGGGTATTTTTTGGTGGAGAATCTTTTTATAACTGGAAATACAAATTTTGTGTATAATTGAGTTTGTTGAGTTATATTAGGAGTCTATTATGTTAATTGATTCACTTTCCGTTTAAAAACAGTGTAATCCCCTGTTTCACGCCGTGAATACAGCCAAATACAGTCGAATACAATAATCTGTCCAGCTGTTATCCCATGTTTCACGCCATGAATACAGTCGAATACACTCGAATACAACAACTGATTAGCTGGACTTCCTGATTCACGCCTATTTTTGCTACTGTATTCATGAATACAATAGCTTAAATACATCAAATATATCTTATAACCACAGAAAAGGTATCTATAATCCGTAATATAGCAAATAATATCTATAGGTGGCTAATTACTACTAAAAGATAGTAATTTATAAAAATTAATTCTCTTTCTTTTTTGGAGTATCTGTTTCGAGAATGGCTATCTTTGTAGTTGTAGCCGAGAAGATGACAAAAGTTTCGATAATTCTAATTGTTTTTGCAATATTGTCTTCGCAAATAATCGTAGTGGACCGGCGTATAGTAATGAGCTTCGATCTGATCAGCAATTTATGAATATGTGAAAACAAATTAAAACTCAGAGAAAGATACGTAACTCTTTTGTAGTCCTCATGTAAGCCGCGTGGAATCATATCAGCTTAACCACATGTCAACATTCAATAGACCACACCACTTGCCGCCGCGTCGGCACGTATATTTCTTTAGTGAAGTTGCTAGCTGTCTCCTTCCCAAAGTTCTTTTTCATTTCTGCTTAATTTTCTGTAGATTTTAGTTGACTATTTTAAGAGTAATAATTGCATATTTTCTATCCGTACGTGTAACTTTTTTCTTCTCCGTAATTTTGTTGCTCTAATATTAGTTGGAACGTGTAAAAGCTTGGAGACTCTTATACGCGTTGATTTTGTTGTTTTCATGAGTTCATGCACGCATTTTTTTAACAAAAAAAGGTTAAGTAATTCAAGAATTAATTATATGTATGATATTGATATTTATAGTAACAATGGGTCGAATATGGAAGCAAATTAACAATGACATGTTACAGCCGGCAACAATTTATAAGCATAACTTAAATTCAACGTATGTAACTTAAATTCTAACTAAGTTAATCCAAAAGAAAAAATAGATACAAGTTTGACGTACCAACAATATAAGATGTATATAATTACCAGTTTCTTCCTCTATTATATATAGAATCTTAGACGTTCTTAATTGTCACTTGAACCCACCAAAAATATGTAGAAAGATATGTTTGAGATGCTATCGTTGATGCATGCATGGCTTAGTTTTCTACCCTTTGTTATGAGAAAAGCTGGCTCAAATAGCTTAGGTAAGTGTTCGAGATGAGTGGGAGTCTACTCTCCAGAAAGATTTAATGTGCACCGTTACCATAGAAACAACCAAATTTCAAGCTTCACTCAGCAAATTAAAGAGCGAAAGTAATCGACACATGTCTATGCCCTTGTCTATGTGTAACCATCTACAAACACCTTTATATAGATGTAATTCCAACAATTGTTTACAAAATTTCCCTGAAGAAATTAATTATTTTCTCTACGTACGTACTGTTCTCAAATTAAAAGAAAAAAAGAAGAAACAATGTCCAGCTGGAGTTTCACCAATTTTCTTCTCCCTCTTCTTATTTTAGCCATTGCTGCTAATGTTGTCGCTAGCAACCAAGATCTTGACAATGCGGTCCAAAGAACAAGGTCTGGGTTGTTAAATGCCATGAAATGGGCTCAGGGTCTAGAAACACTTGACAAAGCAGACCGAGATGGTTCGACAAATTTTGCTGGTATTGAGTGTGTTAAACTCTATGAAGACACTGAGCCAAGGTTAGCACGGCTAGTCTCTGGTGAGAAGTATTATAGCGATGACGATGCTGTTACTTGGCTAAGTGCAGCTCTAGCAAGCCATAGGAGTTGTTTAGATGGATTGGAAGAGAAAGGATTGGTTTTTAAAAGTGAAGAGGCTCGAAACTTGACTTTGTTGCTTAAGGATGCATTGTTTAATTATGGACAACTAAGAAAAAATGGAAGGGCCAAGGCCAGAAAGGGTGAGTTTTCTTTGGGCGCATATCACAATATAATTACACTAGCTCGGCTTGCTGCATGAAATGATTTTACTTTAAATGCACTGACATTGTAATGGGATAATCAGGGCGAAGCCACCCTTTGCGAAGCCACCTTTCGTTAATTGACCATCCTTCCTCGAAATATTAAAAAAATTATACGGTGTTTCCTCGAAATATTAAAAAAATTATACGGTGTGTATAAGTGAAATATTAGATTTTAGATATATATAATTGAACACCCCTTGTCGGATTTCTTTTTTACTCGTTTCAAGTCTAAACACTCTTAGAGAGTTTTCTAGCTTTGCCACTGAGAATAATGTTTACTTTATCAGTGCAATACGCTCTGCTATACAAGGTTATTTCGCTTTAAAATAATTTTTACACAATCAAATGACTTTTAGATGGTTAACTCTTTGTCGTTCTTTACAAATAGTGGAATCAGAGGCGGGGCCAGATGGGCTATGGATTTTGGGATCACAACTTCAAAATGTTTATGAATGGGTTATAGATTTAATATTTATACATATTTTTTGAATTAGAAATATCAAATACACTGAGCAAAAGCTATCGGACTCGGCTGAACCCGTGGGTCGGCTTGTACCTCCGCCCCTGAATGGAATTAATAACCTTAGAAAATAAGGTAGATTACCTAGTAAAACATATTAAAATTTCCAACTAGTCATTTTGGCAAACAAAACCTTTCCAAAATATTTGACGTTTTTGTAAACTACGGAACATTTATTACTTTCTTTTGGCAAATTCACCCTAATTGTTCCAATTGGAGTTTTAATTAACTAAGACATTTGACAAAGAATAAGAGTAGTTTAGACAAATTGAATTAATGCACTCCTAATTAAGGTGTGCAAAAACTTTATAAAAGACAGATAGTACGAACAGAACATATAGCATTCTTAAAAATCAAGCAAATTAAACTAACGAGAACATTTTGGTGACAGGGGCACAACCGAGACCAATCTCTAATAAAGGTCGGGGACTTCTGGCATCATGGAATGCAGCCATATCCAAAGCTGATATAGTCGTTGCACAAGACGGTTCAGGTAATTATAAGACAATCAACGAGGCTGTGGCTGCACTCTCTCGGATGACACGACCAGAAAGAACAATTGTATATGTCAAATCTGGTGTATACCACGAAAATGTCGAAATTGGAAGGGAACTCAAGAATTTGATGTTTGTTGGTGATGGCATTGACAAAACTATTGTGACTGGTAATAAAAATGTCCAAGATGGAGCTACCACCTTAAGCTCAGCTACATTTGGTAAGTCATGAATATAATAGAATTTATAGCATATCGACTTGTATTAAGTGACATACTCTTTAAATATAATAATGATGGTGTCCGACTCAGTTTGCGCACACCTCAACTATTCCACCATGTCCATTACCCACACACAGACATCGAGTAACTCGTTCCTCGTTCCGCCAAATCTTAGGTATGTAGATGATAAGGAATAACTTAGCATGTTTTGTAGATTTGAACTCCGACCTCCCCTGATTTTTGTTTTACTCTATTGACTTTGAGCCACACCTTTGGGTGCACATTAAGTGACTTATATACTTATAACCTAGTTTTCTTTTTATTTTAGGTGTGTCTGCTGATGGATTTTGGGCAAGGGACATGACATTTGAGAACACAGCAGGACCACACAAGCATCAAGCTGTGGCATTAAGAGTAGGCTCAGACCTCTCCGTTTTCTATCGCTGCAGCTTTAGAGGTTATCAAGACACGCTCTTAGTACACTCACTGAGACAATTTTATCGCGATTGTCACATATATGGCACGGTAGACTTCATATTTGGTGATGCAGCCGCGGTGTTTCAGAACTGCGATATTTTTGTAAAGAGACCAATGGATCACCAATCCAACATGATAACAGCGCAGGGAAGAGATGACTCGAATGAAAATACAGGGATTGTTATACTAAATTCACGAGTTTCACCATCCTCAGAGTTCGGTGCTGTTAAAGGGAGTTTCCAGAATTACCTAGGAAGACCGTGGAAGAAATATTCAAGGACGGTTTTTATTAAGACGGATTTGGATGGATTGATTCACCCAAGAGGGTGGAAAGAATGGAGTGGTAATTTTGCACTATCAACATTATATTATGGAGAGTACATGAATACAGGTAGTGGAGCTGATACTGGAAACAGAGTAAATTGGCCTGGTTTTCATGTGTTACGTGATGCCAATGAAGCAAGTCCATTTACAGTAAGAAATTTCATACAGGGTGAATCTTGGATCCCAGCAAGTGGAGTGCCATATTTGGCTGACATATGATATATATGTATTTGACAAGAGACTGAACATTAATGTGTAGGCTATCAAATTGGCAAATATGCATGTTAATTACTACTGTTGTATTTATGTCACGACCCAAACGCCGATCGTGATGGCGCCCAATACACTGCTAGGCAAGCCCGACCATTTACACAACCTTAACCAAATCACCTAGATGGATAACTAAATATTCACAAGTAAAAATAACAATTTAAATGCGGAATCTCTGAAATAATTTCTAACATTCGAAAACCCCAAGATAAAATACTAAACAACCCACAGATCTGGTGTCACGAACATGAGCCTCTAAAACGAAATATTCACCTATCACAAGTCTGTCTAGGAAAAATACGAATAAAAGGATAAAATAGATGGGAGAGATCAAGGCTGCGAACGCCATGCAGCTACCTCGATACTCCTGGATAAACGCTGCTCAGCCAACAAGTCCTCACTCACCCTGTGGTGTACCTGAATTTGCACACAAGGTGTAGGGAGTATTGTGAGTACTTCCAACCCAAAAAGTAATAAATATAAATAAAGTTTGAGGATAAGAAATCCCAATTAAACACAAGGTAAAGCTATAAATATAGTAAAACATCGAAGACAATTATAATAGTACCACAACAGATAAAGAATAAATGACAGTTAAAATATGCAATGCAACACATAAGCCGGTACCTCCAGTACCCCGCTGCGGCCGTGCAGCCGCTCCATTTATTTAACGTCGACGGCGCTCACTGGGGGTGTGCAGACTCCGGGAGGGGCCCCTTACGGCCCAAGCGCAATAATAAGCCATCTCGTGGCATCAAACAGGCCCTTGGCCTAATATCAATATCATTATTATACCACTGCGGTGTGCAGCCCGATCCCATACTCAGTCCAAATTCACATGATAGTATAAAAATATTCATCCCAGACTTCATTTAAAAATAATAATTAAGTTTCAAGTTTAAGAAAGGTGGCTGAGTTTCCAAACAAAATATTAAATGCCAGGACTGAGTTTAATATTTTGTGATTATGGTAAGAAACTATTTAAAACAATCCCTGAAGGATTCAAGTAGTTGGCACAAAGCCCAAATATAACAATTTAATCCATTTTTATAAGGATATCACAAAACTACAATCAAATAGGTAGTAATTTTATTAAGCGGGACGGACCAAGTCACAATCCCCGACGGTGCTCTACCCCACGCCCGTTATCCGGCGTACAAGTCACCTCACATAGCACTACGATGTGCAAATTCGGGGTTTCAAACCCTCAACACAGCATTTTTATTTATTACTAACCTCAAGCTGGCCAAAGTCCTAGCTTGCTACGCCTTTGCCTTTCGAATTTACCTCCTCGCGCGTCGAATCTGACCAAAACCACAACGAATACGTCACAATATGCTAAGGGAATATAACCCAATCGAAAAGACTCGAAAAACATCGAAAATCACGAAGTTGGCAAAACCCGAGCCCTGGTCCCACTTCTCGAAAAATTATAAAATTAACATCACCGGATTCCTTATCTCGCCACGAGTCTATACATATAAAGAACACCAAAATCGGAGTCCAAATGGCCCCTCAAATTCCCATTTTTGTTCTCTTAGGTTTCAAGCCCTAAACCACCATTTTTGACCTTAATTCCTTGAGTTTTCAGTGTAATTTCATGTATTTGCATGATAAAATTGTGTTCTAAGTCCAAGAATGCTTACCTGATCGAAGTCTTTGAATTTCCTCTTCAAAATCGCTCAAGAACACCCCAAGTCCGAAGTTAACATATGTATTCTATAAAATTTCGCGAAGGAATTAAAACCCACTTCTGATCAGTTATTTCCGCTTCTGCGGTGCCTTTGTCGCTTCTGCGACTACCGCATCTGCGGTCACTTTCCGCTTATGCGGAATCTCACTTATTACCTTGGATCGCTTTTGCGGTCACTAACCGCTTCTGCGGAAGCCGCTTATGCGGAAGCCGCTTATGCGGGAAATAGTCCGCTCCTGCGGAAATCTCCAAAATGCCCAACCTCGCTTCTGCGACTCCTCATACGCTTCTGCGGAACCGCTTCTGCGGTCCATTTCCGCAGAAGCGAAAATACCAGATACCAGACCACTCAGCAGTCCTTAAACTCCAAATTTCATCCCGTTAGCCATCCGAAATCACCCCGAGGCCCCCGGGACCTCAACCAAAAACACAAACATGATCCAATACCTTATTCAAACTTGATCCAATCATCAAAACACCTCAAACAACACTAAAACCATCATTTCTCATCGAATTCGAGCCTAAGTTCTTCCGAAACTTCCGAAACACGCATTCGATCAAAAACCCAACCAAAACACCTCCGAATGACCTGAAATTTTGCACACACATCCCAAATCACCTAACGAAGCTACTGAAACTCTCGGAATTCCCTTCCGGCCCCCGGATCAAAATCTCACCTATCGACCGGAATTCGCCAAAATCTTAACTTTGCCAATTCAAGCCTAATTCTACTCTGGACCTCCAAAATCACTTTTGGTCACACTCCTAAGTCACAAATCATCCCCCGAAGCTAACCGAATCATCGGAATTCATATTCGAGCCCTCTAACACAAAGGTAAACGTCCGGTTGACTTTTCCAACTTAAGCCTTCTTAAAAGAGACTAAGTGTCTCGTTTCTTATCAAAACCATTCCAAACCAACTCTAACACATCAAATACCGATAATGAAACATGAAGAAGCATAAAATGGGGGAAACGGGGTGGTAACACACGTGACGACGGGTTGGGTCGTCACAGTTTATAATATAGAATGGTATATTTCCACTGTTGTATTTATTAGAGATTTTTTCCTTCTTATACCATATATGAAACCTTATTATCAAAATGTGCATATTTCATATTTACCCGCCATGTTCGCAGTTTTTCTACAATTATTATACCATTCATTAAATACTAATTATTAGGAGATGATTCCTTCCTAATTAGGCGCGCTACAAATCAGGAACAGAATATTCTAATTAATTTAGAGACCTTCAGATCAAATTTGAAACGCAGATCCTATATCTTCAATTTAAAATCAAATTACATAGACTCTTTTCTGCAAAAACTCTGTTCTTCGATATTTTCCTTAAGCCACAAATCAAAAAAAGACAAAATCGTCAACAAATTCGAATCAAATTGTAGAAATCAGTTCTACAAAAGCTCAGTTCGTCGACATTCTCTCTACATCTCTCTCTATTTCCCAATCGCAAATTTCAGTAATACAAAGCAAATGAAAAGAGAGCAGCAATTCCACCATTGACAGCCATTAAAAAGCTTGAAAGCTTTGAATTCAAATTTGGGTTTTTAAAAATCATTATTTGTTTGGATTGGGTGTTGTTGAAAATAATCGGGAATATGGTTTGGAGTTTATATCTCAATTTTTGAGGGGTTCTTGGTGAAGATTTAGACTTGGTTTTGACTTGAATTTCAGATTGAAACTCGAAGAAGAAGAAGAAGAAGACATAATGCAGAAATTGTAGATAAATTGTAGATTATTTGTATTCTGACTGTAGATGCTTTATTTTCTTTTTCACAAATAAAAAACGGCTAAAACTTCTACAAATCTTCTGAAAAAATGCAATTATGTCAAAAATACCAATTATGCTACAATTGAATGGGAATTGGGATATAAAAATTCAATGTACCCAGTTTGTAGATATTTTGTAGATAAATTGTAGATTATTTGTATTCTAATTGTAGATGCTTTGTTTTCTGTTTTCACAAATCAAAAAACGACTAAAACTTCTACAAATATTCTGCAAAAAGCAATTATGTCGAAAATCCCAATTAAACTACAATTGAATGGGAATTGGGATATTAAAATTCAATGTACCCAATTTGTAGATATTTTGTAGATAAGTGTAGATTATTTGTATTCTGATTGTAGATGCTTTGTTTTCTGTTTTCACAAATCAAAAACGACTAAAACTTCTACAAAACTTCTGCAAAAAACGCAATTATGTCGAAAATATCAATTAAGCTACAATTGAATGAGAAATTGTACCAATGTCGAAAATACCAATTAAGCTACAAGCTACAATCGATTCAATAAGTCCATTATATTTTGATATTTAATTAGAAGGATAATTATAGAATACATATATAGAAGGTATTTTCTCATTTTATGTCGTGACTGAATCTCCTAGTGAGGATTTTTTAACTTATCTTACACCTAGTACGTACAAAAATACGTATAGCGACACCATCATATTTTAATGTATAATTTATAAGGCAGAAGGGTAGTTGTAGAATAAATAGAAGGTCTTTTCTTATTTGGTTTATATTAATAAGTATGTTAGAAAAAAGAAGAGTCCTAATTTCATATTTGTTGCAGAAATTAAAGTGTTTTTGGCATTAACCGAAGATTGAATTTCTTCCTATTGCAGAATATGGCAGTTGCAAGTTTCCGACAGGATATTGATTTGGTCCGAGCTTTTGAGGAAAAATTAAAGCTACAAGCTACAAGCTAAAATACACTATGGTATAGAATTGGTAATTTGGTATACTAAGTGTAATTAAGTCAAACCTTAAACATTGAAGGTAATAAGGTTTCCTATGTGGCATAGGAATGTAAAAATTCCTATTTATTATCTAGACTCACTGGACCAGATCTCTTGTGGGCCTTTAACCGCTCATTCAACATACAGGTCATGAGCAGTGTTTTAAAAGGCTTTTCCGGGACTCGCCTCGGAGCTCCCCTGGGGCGGAGCACTATCAAAACGCCTTGAGACTCATGTGCGGGGCTTAGTTCTGTGAGGCTTACGTCCCTAAGCGCCCAACTGTGTGCCCTAAACCCATCTAACGCTCAACTCTCGGGACTCGCCCAATAGTTCTTATGCAAATCATGTGTTAAATTTATTAATTTGCACCATTGACTCTTAAAATTCTTTAACAAATGAATGATTAAAGTTCCTTTTATCTATAGGAATATAAAAATTGTGCATAACTCAAATAATGTATATTTACTAATTGAAAACATCGTGAGGGTGAATATTATTTGAATATTTCTTCTAAAAATAGATCACCAAAATTCACATATTTACTTGATAGATCTTCACGTCTCAGTTCTATGTCTCTCAAAA